AATGGCTGAATCTCAGAAATAGATAACCTACCCATCTGGAAAGACACAACCACACATAGATCTGGTAGGGAGACAGCTGGTAGGAATATAGATCAAGTATCTATTCCATTTATATGTGGATTTTTTACAGTATAGTACTATAACGTATTTTCCCTTTCTTATGATTTTCTTAACATTTTCTTTTTTCTAGTTCAGTCGATTGTAAGGATGCAGTATATAATACATATAACATATAAAATATGTATTAACTGATTATTTATCTTATTGGTAAGGCTTCCAGTCAACAGTAGGCTGTTAGCAGTTAAGTTTTTGGGGAGTCGAAAGTTATACCTGAATTTTCTACTGCCTAGGGGATTGGTTCCTCTAACTCCCACATTGTTCGGGGGTCGACTGTAATTGCAAAGAAAAAACTTCCAAGGACACATTACTTCTAGCCCCAACAATACCTTCATTTCCCCTCAGAGGATATAATCCTGTACAATCCCTGAAGAGAGGAGAGAGACAGAGAGAAACTTGTGTAACTCAACTAATTATCCCATATTAACTTCAACTCAATTAGGTAATGATCCTGTTTTTAAATGATTATTCTTTTTTTATTCTTTTATTTTATGACTATCATTGAACTAGTTGACATTTATTGAATCAACTGTCCTCCCAATCAATTCAGTTAAAAAATTCTATCTCACCAGATGGACAAGCTGTTTTGTTGAATTAACTAGTCAATATGGTAGAACTTTGTGCATCTGGTCAAATTCTAATGATACTTAGACTCTTTTACATTGAAGATTAGTGCCTGTGATTTGCCTGCCAGGTATGTGGATATGAGTCACTCATCCAGTTTTTTCATTGCGTGGGGCTGTTACAAGCAAAGACTCAAAGGTCCCTGGGAGAACAGGGCCACAGGCCAGCAGTGGAACAATTCATTCATATGATAAGCTTTTTGGGTTTTCTTTAGCACAATTCCAGGTAATCTAACATGCTCTTTGAAGAACTGAAGAGAATTTAAATCAATGAACGTAAGAACTAAAATCTGCTTGCTCAAAAGTGACAGAGGTTTGCCAATGTTAGTATCTGCCATCATTCCAAGGCTGATGGAGGCTCATGTTGAATTCCCATCACATATTATAGTATTTACTTGCTAGATTATCATCTGCTTAGCTATAAAGGGGAATACCAAGGTTCATTTCGGTAGTGCAATGATTGCAGAAAGCCCCGGGTTACAGTTTCAACTGTAGTACTTTGACATAGCACATTCTAGTAGATCGGCAAATAAAATGCCTTTGACAAAACCCCCCTGAAGATAATACTGGAGCCCTTTGGGGGAATCGAGGGTGTTGTGGGGGCTAGAAACCAGTGTACTTGGCAGTTTTTTTCTCAGAGTTTCATAGTTCTTTCTTTGTGTTGAGAATCCAAATAGATGCCTCACATATCTATGTATTCCCTTTTACCACCTCCCTGCCAGATCTGTATTTCTTTCCAGATAGATAGGTTGTCTTACTTCTAAGATTTGGTCATTGTGTCAATGAATATTTACCCACGTAGTAAAATGTTTTCCCTAAGTAAATCTTTCTTTTCTTTTCTTGGTGAATGCAAGTTGAGGTTTTTTTCAATATCACTTTTTATAAAGAATATAAAAGTTTTATTCACAGGTTTCATTTTATTAACTAATTTTTAGTGCTTTTCATTATTCACCCAATAGCAAGTATTACTAATCCTACCTCACAAAAAAAGAAATGGAGGCTAAGTGAATTTAAATATATTGCCCAAAGTCATATAGCGTTTTAAAGTGTTCATACATTGTTAGAGGCTTTATAGCAGCTGATTCTTTTAGTTTCCATATTTTAATTACATTGTTCTACTTTTTGTTTATTTTCACTTAAAATGTACTTTGTCATCAACTCCTCTTCCGGGAATAACTTGGATGTGCCAAGGTGTGTATTTAATGGAGGACAAGAACTGGGACTGGGGTGCCTGAAACCCCATTACTGAGTAACATGCAGAGTGGTTGCCAGGATTATTCTTGGTCCAAGCTGAAAACAGTACCATGGGCAGTGGCATAGAGAGAAATCAGAACTTACACACATTAGCTGCATTTCACAACTGGAAATTTTATTTTTTTTTATTTTTTTAAGATTTTATTTATTTATTTATTTGAGTGAGTGAGAGCATGAGCAGGGGGAGCAGCAGAGAGAGAGGGAGAAGCAGGCTCCCTGAGCAGGGAGCCCGACTCGGGGCTCAATCCCAGGAACCCCGGGACCACAACCTGAGCAGAAGGCAGACGCCTAACCACCTGAACCACCCAGGCGCCCCACCACTACTTTATCTTGAGCAAACCCTGCTCCTCAACACCCCTTAGCTCTGAGGGTAACCTGATCTTTTTTTTTGGTCCCCTCTTTTGCCGCTCTTCTCTCTGGACTTATGAGAAGTATGTACTCTCAAGGTTTTTAAGAACTAGTTTCAGGTATTTTAGTTACTTTTTAAAAAAAATCTTCTTCCTAAACCACCGGACATTGCAAGAACAGAGGAAGTCATTAACACTCAATTTTATTTTTCAGGAAAAAGAATTCATGTTTTAAGCAGAACATCAAATCAGAATGATCCAGAAAGATAGTTAAGTTTTATTATTGTTAGTAAGAGCAGTGCAGAGGTAGTGAATCAGTTTATTACAGTACACACTATGAAATGTGACCAAGTGCCGTATTACTGTTAGATAACCTTTGAGTCGCTTATTGTGTCCAGCCAGCACGTTACTGACACTGCAGTTTGTAATGCCAAGACTCTGAACAACTGGATCTAAGGTCACAAAAGCACAATATGTGCCTGATTTGGCACTGGCACAGCTCCATTAGATGCATTTCCACAGCCATTTTGCTCAGAATCTTTTTGGTTGAGAAATCCTTCTAAAGAAGACAAACTTGTCCCCGTCTGTTTGCATCTTTCTTTTTAGTTCTTCCCCATTCCTTTGTGAGACCTAATGGATTAGTTCTCCTTTATGGTTGGGAGGGGAAAGTGAGATTCCTTGCAGTGATCTGCATGTGTCCAGCTCCCTGTGATTTTTCATCTAACTTGGTAAAAACACTTTTTTTTAAAAGATTTTATTTATTTATTTGACAGAGAGAGATAGCGAGAGCAGGAACACAAGCAGGGGGACCGGGAGAGGGAGAAGCAGGCTTCCCGCAGAGCAGGGAGCCCGATGTGGGGCTCTATCCCAGGACCCTGGGATCATGACCTGAGCTGAAGGCAGACGCTTAACGACTGAGCCACCCAGGTGCCCTGGTAAAAACACTTTTTTAACTGAAGGAGCTGGTGTCTATTTCTAAGACTCCCATTGCATTACCACCTGCTTTAGAATGCTCCCTCCACTAAGATTTTTGTAATATGAGTTTCATACTTATATACACAATATATATATTTTAGAGTAAGATTTGACTGTTTAAAATCTGTTTATTGTTGTGGAGAATTCTTATTCACTCCAAGCCCAGTGAGGAGTGAGTGTGGGGGAAATTGCACGAACTAGACATTTTTTGATGATAATTTATAAATATCCATTTGTTACTACTGGGGCTTCATCCCTACTGAAACATCACTGCTCTTTTTTATAATCCATAAAAATGGGGAGGGAGGATGAGTGAAATTTGGAGTTTTCCCCTTTTATTAAGTCCTTTCTTTTCACTTTAAGACAAGGACTGTCTGTTTGAACACATAGTAGTAACTCAAAACATAGTTATTCAATGAATGTTGGGTACTATGAATGGAAATGATATGATTGATGGTTATAGAATGTCAACTGCTTTTGCCTTTTGGAGGACATGGAAAGTAACAATACTCCCGTCCACAAGAGAGGGGGCAAAGTATTCTGGTCCTCTGGTAGGTGATTTCACCTGGCTGTCGGACCTCCTCATCACATGAAACTTTGTGCTCACCCCAACCTGCCCTAATTGCTGATGGCTGAAGCTTAGAATGGCCAGTACAGTGTCTTTACCCTGAGGATGGAAAAACACAGCAGCTTATCCATTCCTAGGTCTCTGGGACTAGGACCCCCCAACTTCTAACGTACCATTAGGCCTGTAGTGATAAATTGTGACACCTGACAGTGGCATATCTAATAGCAAAATATTTTCAAGTGATGACAGTGGAATCTACAGTATTGGAATGATACTTTACCTTTCTTTATGAACCTCAGCTGTTTGGAATTTCTAATAAACCATCAGCTAAGCCTGGCAAAATCTATACTAACTCCTAATTCCTAAGGTAGGAAAACAAATATTTTCCTCCATTCATTTGGAAAAGCAAGAATACAAGAGATACAAGAAATATTATGTGTGTATATATTCTCCCTTCTCTTCCCTTCCCTTCTCTTTTCTTTCTTTCTCTTTCTGTGGTGGATCCTATTCAAGATCTACCTTGGGCTACTGTCTAAGTAACTTTGCCTGCAGCATTAGTCCATCCATCCATTAATTTATCATCCAGCCAACCAGCCATTGATCTACATTTATTGATCCATCCGTCTGTCTAACTAGCTAGCCAACTATCCATGTCCATCCATGTCTGTCCATCCAACTCTAAGCACATCACTTGAGTGCCTACTCTGTGCTGAGTCCAGATCAGCTGTTTTATAAAATATTTTAAAATTTATATGGGTGTATTGCCCACCAAAAAAAACATTTTAAAATTTGGACTTGTCTGATTACTTCCTCCTGAGAGATTCAGGCAAAAAAAAAAAAAAATTGGTGATGAGGCGGGGTAGGAACACAGAGCACAGAATTTTATAGATAAAATCTCAGTGCATCATATCTGGAGGCACTTGTCAATTTGTCTCATTTTTGGTGATGTTCACCAGATTTCTTCCTTGACAAAATACAAATATCTCTATAATCAGTACATTGCTTGTGGGGGTGATAGACTGAGACTGTGTGAATACTCTGTTCCCAAATCATCTCTTACTCAATGGTTGGGTATCCATTGATGAGCCCCATCCATGTAGATTTCTTATCTTGTAGCAACTTTTCACCTCATTAGCTCTTTATGAGCTTTGTAGTTTATTTGAAGTATGGAATGCCATCAATTATTTCACCATTCTAAGTTTCCTCTTCCCTCTCTTGCCCTCCATGTTTGTACAGAAGACCAGGCTTTCTTCTTCTAGACCCCAATCATTCTTTTTGTGTGCATTTAGGAAGAGCAAAGGACCATCTGAAGTGGATGACACTGAAGATAAGTGTGAAAACATGATCACAATTGAGAATGGCATCCCCTGCGATCCTCTGGACATGAAGGGGGGGCACATTAACGATGCCTTCATGACAGAGGATGAGCGGCTTACCCCTCTCTGAAGGGCTGCTGTTTTGCTCCCCCTAGAAACTCAACACTTGTTTCTGTGCAACTGCTGAGCATTATAAATTATCAAGGGCAGATCATCTATTTTGTTTCACCACTCTTCTTTTCTAAGAAATTTTGCATGTGCATGAAAGTAAAAGGCCGTCATTTATACCCATGAAGACCACTGGAATCGTAAGCTGTTGACTACTCAAAATATTCTAAAATATTTCTCTGACAACACAATGTGTAAATGTAGTCATGTGGTGTCTTTAGTTATCGGTTTAAAAGTGCATTAGTATTAAGCATTTCCGGAAATATATATTTTTTCACACTTTGAAGACCTACGGAGAGATATTTTTCCAGTGGAGAATATGCATAATATGGTATAAAAATCTTTGAAAATGGATCCTTTTTGAATATTGTTTATATCACTCTGTATATGACTAAGGAAGAATAAAATACAATGTTTGTAATGGGATATGAATGATGAAAGTGGGAGTGTCAATACACAAGGTGGAATTTGATCCTGTTATCATACCAATACTTAACTTATTCTCTATCATTCTCTAATAAGGCAGCCCTATTGGTTGACTATTTCTGCAATTTGTAAAAGTACAATCTCCGTGAATTTAATAAAAGTGCTAATCATCTCTTTTTAATTATGTGACTGATTGTGGTCTGAGATTTATTTTCATACTGTGGAAATTAGTAAGCCTAATTTTTACTAGTTATGTGTAATCTGTTCTACAACCCTAGAAATGAATTATTTTTGTTGTGTGTATCCTTGCTTGAAGACATCTTATAGTATGTAGACTTCATTTTATTTCCAGATAGGCCATGACTATTCTAATCTCTAATAATAAATTATTATGCATTTATGAATAGAAAGAAAATTTGCTGCTCAGTCTCCTACTGCTATCACCCATAGTTGATGTTACAGCAACAGTTTCTAACTCCCTTTACTGCCCCAGTGTTGCTCCCCAGATACAGACTCCAAGATGGGTAGTTGCAGGCAGAAGGTTTATTGGGGAGTGCTCTCAGGAGATACACCTGTAAGAAGTGAGGAAGGTAGGTGTGGCAAATAGACTCTAAGATGTCTGCTATTTCCTAATGTTCATGCCTTTATGTAACCCCTCTCCTTGAGTGAGGATGGGACCTCTGACTTGCTTCTGCATGGACTACAGCAAAGATGAAGAGATGTTACTCCTGCAATTACTTTATATTATGTCTGAGTCTGTCTTGCTAGCAGACTTGTTCTAGAGACTCTCCTTGCTGGCTTGATTAAGTAAATGGCCATGTTTGGAAAGCCTACATGAAAGAGACTGTGAGCAGACTTTAGGAATTGTTGGTGGCCTCTCAGCACTGAAGACAGCTTCTGCCAACAGCCAGCCAGAAGCTGAGGTCCTCAGTCCTTCAGCCACAAGAAAATGAAATCTGTCAACAACTAAAGTGAGCTCGGAAGTGGATTTTTCCCCAAACTGTCTCCAGATGAGAATGCCGTCTGGTCAACACTTTGATTGCAGCCTGAGCAGAGGACCCAGTTAAGATGTGCCCAGACTCCTGACCCAGGGACACTGTGAGATGATAAATGTGTGCTTTTTTTAAGCCACTGAGTTTGCAGTAAGGTGTTATGCTGCAATAGGAAACTAATAAGTGTAGGATTAGGCAGAGGGAGAAGTGACCAGCAACATGATTACAACAGAGGCTTTAGCCAATCCTTCCAGAAGCCTAGGAGCTGAGGTTGTCCCTGATTGAGATAAGGTACCTGGGCCTTTGTATCTCCACATTAGCCAGTCATGGCCATGGGTGCTCTCTGGGGGAGGGTCTGCTCTTGGGAAAGGTAGTTCCCTGTGGCTGGGGGCAACTCCCATCGAATGTATCAGCTGTGAGCCTTCAAAAGCCAGTGTTTCCAGAAGCTGGGGATAGGTACATGGATCTTGAAGAGGGGGCCCGGTGGACCCCCAGAATATCCACTATACCCTCTCCAGCCCATTGGCTGTAATGTAGCTTGAATGAATATCCAAAATGTAAACTTGATCCTGTTGGTTCCTAACATAGATGCTTTTTTAAAAAAAAAGACTTTATTTATTTATTTGACAGAGAGAGAGAGCACAAGCTGGGGGAGCGGCAGGCAGAGGGAGATGCAGGCTCCCCGCAGAGCAGGGGGAGCCCGATGTGGGGCTCGATCCCAGGACCCCAGGATCCTGACCTGAGCCGAAGGCAGTCGCTTAACCAACTGAGCCACCCAGGCACCCATAACATAGATGCTTTTAAATGGCTTTTTATTATCTTTAGGATAAAGCCAGACTTTTAAAACATAGGCAGGACCTGCTGCAGTCTTACTTCCACCTTCCTCTCTAATCTCGCACCCTGCTCCTCTTTATCTCTCTCTCTCTTTCATCTAGTCATAACAGATCTCTCACTTCCAGGCCTTTGAACAAGCTGTTCTCTCTACACGGTTCCCTGTCTCTCAGCCACTCTTTCAGCTTGTCCTTAGCCTTTCTTTCACTTAAACATCTTGCCCCTCCTGGAGGTCTTTGCTGGACCTCCCAGTTATGTGTTCCTAGACTGCCCTGATAATTATACTCATCTTGCTGTACCACAGTTACGTTATATTTAAATGTGTTTTTATGGAGGAAGGAGACCATACAGCCAAGAGTACCCCAAGGGCCTACAAAAATCTGAATACACTGTCTCCTTGAACATTCTCATAACCTATTTCACTTCCCCCCACCTCTAACCAGATAGAATTAACCACTAATTTGTAACCTCACCATAGCTATGTATCTTTTTAATGAAAATTATTATAATATTTTACTTTGTTTTTACATATCTGTATCTTCACACTACATATAATATTCTTGGAGGCAGTGTTCAAATCACTTAGCATAGTACCCTGTCTTTCTCTTTCCTTCCTTTCTCCCTTCCTTCTTTCTGTCCTTTGTTCTACAGTGGTGAGCAAAAATCAAACACAATCCCCGCCCTCACAGAGTTGAAAGTCTACAGAGCTCAATAAATGTGTGCTGATAAACAAGTAAATGAGATGGTAACTGTTGCAAGCTCATAGTCTTATCCTTTCTGAGAGCAAAGCCTGCCCCTCTCCCTGTAGGTGGAGGAGTTTGAAATTGTGGGTGTGAGATTTTTGATTTGGACACCATTTTGACTTGGGAATCATATTGCTCTTTAATATTATTAGGGCTTCCTCCTTTTTAGGAGAGGAAGGAGATTTGTTCTCTCAGTTGATAATATATGATTTGCTAAAGAACCATTTTCTATCTTACATTTTCTTGAGTTGAATACTCCAGAATAGGGTAGCTTTGCATACAGAATGGTGAAACATCATCAGAATTCAGTGTGTACAGGTGAGCCAGTGGTAGCAGCCGAAGTAGGCATATGGGATAACTATTGTGTAAAGAAACAGCTTCTTCACTCCTGCACTGTGATTGCCACCAACATACTCCTGGTTGATGAGACCATGAGAGCTGGAATGTCTTCTCTGAAAGGTTGAATCTGAAGCTTCCCTTGTGTCATCCGAATCATGAAGACTCCACAGAGTGATCCTAAGAATATAGCGACGGAATTTTTGTCCAAGCCTCAAATAATTTTCAAAAGCATTTTCTTTTCCCATATGAAAAAAAGAGAACACTGACACTTAAATTCTGAAGTTCTGAAATTACAGTATTTGTTTAAATTGCACTGCAATGTACACACATTAAGCAGGCCGTTTTTACCCAATGAAAAGGATGTTTTGCTTTAGCTTCAGTGATATAAAAGTACCATGTGAGATAAGTATATGTTATCTACCTTGTTATTAAATGTTCCTTGAAAAACAAATTATAATGGTTTAATAATTCTTCTAATGGATGTATTTTAATTTATCCAATAGGTCCCTATACTGTTACACTTGTAAGTTTTTATGATAATATAAATACTTAAAGTAACTTAAAATTTTGAAAGCATCCCTGTTTTAGTATAAATT